ATATGCCAGCAATTATATATGCTTGAAATTTTACGTTTATGGGTATAATTAAATACTACATGCATGGTATTAATATATAAACAAAAACGTATAAGAAAAGTGCGGGAAAGGATACGTGTGCCAATTTATAGGAATGCCTTGAAGGAGCACTTTTTTCTCATCATAGACATAGTGGAGATTTATTTTGCCACTATAAAATGAAAGAAATATTTTATACATGTTTAAGGTGGCTCCCTACAGTTAGTACAGTTTAAATACGATTTATATAGATCAGACTTGATCCTCGCGACCTGCGTGGAATCGTCGTGTTTATTGTTCGGCAAAAATATTGAAACAAGCCGCGGGAAGTTTTTTGGCGTTTTTATCTACAAAGAAAGCTCCAGTTTTTCATTATAATCCTAATTTTTTTGTGAATTCGAACAGTACGTATGTTATTAACTAGTTTAGCCAATCTTTTAGTGTGTTCTTAGGTATTTACGTTCAGTATTGTCTTTCATATTGCTCAAAATTTTCAACCTGTTGTGTTGCGAACTGTCAAACTGAAATGATACTGTCTTCTATAACTCTGGAACAGTAGTGAACTGTCGCCGAAACTTATGTAAGTTCTGTCAATCAATTCAATTCAATTCAATTCACAGGTATCGTTTTATCTGCTGAATCAAATAAAACAGTTATGAGTTGTTTTATATGAAAAGTAAAACTTGTAGTTCGATGTTTTGAAAAGTTTTCACACCGATTTTAACAACAAAAACAAATGTAAACTAACACTGGATTTAATACAATGCATATAATAGTGTTTTTTATTAGTATTTTCAAGATTAATATTTTATTTTCCATGTCAAACAAGTCAGAAATATCTGTTTTCGTATGTATTGTAAGTCAAAAAGTTGAAATCACTATAAATCACATGCGAAATTTGAGAGAAAGACAATTAGAAACGTTCCCAAACCAAATGTTATAGTTAAAATACAAAATTTCATAAACAAACTGCAAGTTTTTCCCGCATTACGTACACACTTATTAAATATCCAAACTCAGCTAGGCCTATAAAAGTTCTACCGGAAGCCAGGGGCAGGGGAGAAAAACGCCAGACATTCTGGGTACAAAATTATGAAAACATGCTTTCAGTTGCACGTACTGATTTTGCAGTGCTGTTTTTCAGAAAGTTGCAACTATATAAATGCTTAATGCGCATTTTTCCAAAATAAATTTTATGGAGAGGGGAAATCCAGCAAATAATGGCATAATGGTAATGGCCCGCCAGCCCGCATCAACTTTAGGAGAAGGTCCGGATGAGAAACTGATATACAACAAAAAGTGGCCTTTAATACTACCATTTATTTGAAGGAGTTTGCTTTGGCCGTCGACGTCGCGTTGCCGTCCTAAAATCGTAAGGTCTCTAATAACCCCTCCGTGCGATCGCTAAATCACTTGCCGTTAGATGCCTCTATATATACACCCTTTAGTTACTGCTTCGCCCTTTCAGAGAGATTACGACATGCAGTCTTGGTTCATTTATTTGTTTGAGAATAAGTTTCGCTTTCACTTAATACATACGCTTACTACTTGTTTCGTCGGTTTTAATATTGCCTAATAGCTCAAAGCAACAAGAAAGAAATTTGTTTTTTACATCAAAACGTTTTTGAATACTCAACCATGCATGTATTAAAGTTGATTGTTTATAGATTCTAATTTCGTACCTTGTCTCTCTATGAACATGAGAGCAATATAAATGTATATAGTAGTACACTCATAGGCGTACGGGATTCATATATTGGAGGAGCTGTGGTCTATATTGCCCGAATATATTTGGGCCCCTTTCTTGACTTTTCTTTGGGGGATTTTACCCCCCCCCCCCGCCCGAATTCAACGAGTTAGGATTGTAATGATTTTACGATATAAATATACTGTTAAGAAAGCGAAGAAAAACTTGAAATACGCGTTGACCGACTTCAAGCGATGACGGGGATTGTATATGAACCGCTTTTCACGCGAAAAACATTACTCTCTAATAAATTGTATACTATATACTTTCTTCTCATATTCTCTTGTGATAGATGTGTACATTCGGAGGAAATCGGTGCATATAGTTTTAGTTACCAAGATCAGTATGTTTACAGTGATTTCATACACTGATAAATAATAAAAAGATAATACCGGCGCATAAAATTAGCAACGCGTGCATGTCAATTTCAGTCGGCACATGCGTCAATACTTTTGCTCTATGTTATAAAGCTAGCATAAATGCTGGCATATTTATAACTTAGTCTCTATCCAAAAACAGCCATATTTGAAAGATAGTGAACAATTTTGTACGTTTTTAACGCGAAAAATTTAAGTAAATGCATTAACAAATTATAGCTTATAATTAGTCGAATTAGCAAAAATTGACTATATTCATAACGCGCTTGTCAGGTGAAAAACACAATGCCCAAAGATTTTATTCTTTACTCTAGTAGATGTGACATAATACTCAGTAGCTGCAAGAGATTGAATACCTGATACCGTTGCACTTTTGAGAAAAAATAATTTACCGCCAGCATACTAACACGAATATTTAATCCGCTGTCTGAAAGACGTTTTTAAAAATACACAATATTTTGTTTGCTTCAAGTGATCAGGATAATTATTAGTTTAGCTTTATGCCTAGGCAGGAAATGATAAAATATGTAAGTTTCAAGAAGTTAGAATAAAACCGCGAGATGAACTGTGAGATATAAAAGGCCCAAATATCACTTGCGTATAATTAACGTTTTAACTTGTTTTGGAACGCGTCCGAAAATAATTGCGAAAAATTTTTTAAAACTGACTACAATTTCAAAGTCAACGTTTTTTGTTCATTTTATGAATGACTTCTTCCACACAGAAAGTTTGAAGGAAATCTGTAATCTTGAGAAATTCGAGTGGTCGGTTTTTACACGGACTGCCTCTTAACTCCTCCAAACTATCTTTCTTTTGTACATTTAAAAACGAGTACAAAATGGAAGAATATTTATCCCTTATTGATAACCCAACGATAAGAAGAACATTTTCTCAATATAGAGTAAGTAATCATAAATTGCAAATTGAGCGAGGAAGATACGAAAATATTTCTCGTGAACAACGTTTCTGTAAACTTTGCAACACTGGTGAAGTGGAAAACGAATATCACTTAGCGTTATCTTGCCCGAAATACGAAGATTTAAGAAATAATTCTAACAACATTCTCAAAAACCTATTTTATCTCAATAACACAATGGAAGGAAAACAAAAACTGTTTGAGCATTCGATGTCTTCAGACGATCCAGTTCTTGTTAATTAACCTGCTTTCTAAGTATATCTTTCACTGTTTTTTGGAGAGAGATAAAAGCCTCAAATCCATCGAAGATTAGGGAAAGCAGTTACACTAAAAATCCCTTAGATAAATAATAAAACAAAATAAACAAAAAAAAACATTATATATTTAAATTATATACTGTTTTTCTATTTGTAAATAGCTTCTTACTATATTTTTTAATAGTTCTAGCTTCGACATTACTGACATTTTATATATATAATCTACGCTTAGCAATACCCGTAATTAGGTCATGCAAATAAAGCTTTATAATAATAATAATAATAATAATAATAATAATAATAATAATAATAATAATAATAATAATAATAATAATAATAATAATAATAATAATAATAATAATAATGAAGTCATGCAGATAGTCTTTGTTTTTCAACAGGTAATTATTGTCCCGAAATTCATATCCAAATCAGAAAATCTCCAAATTTTTAAAAAGTGTAGGTAGCAACCTTAATTAAAATACAGTTTTAATATACAATTTCACATTTCAATTTTATTCATAGTATTTACAATTATGGTATTTAAGCAACTTTTTACTGGCCTGGACAACTTCGTTTAGCCATGGGCTGTTCTTTGTTATTTCGATTGTAAGATAAAAAAACAATTTTTATATAGGTTGTCCAGAAGCGAATGCGCTTTATGGAAACATCAAGGTCTTTTCGGACGGCAACGTCTAAAACATGGAATGGAACATCTGGAACAACTGGAATATCTGGAACGTCCGGAACATCTGGAATATCTGGAACATCTCATAAATCAGTTTTTGCAACTTTTTTGCACAATTTGGCAATATTAAGGCGGATTTACGCCATTTAAACTTGTAGATTCAGTCAATTTTGACGAGCCACGAGCTAATTATTTGTAGAAAATGAAAGGTAAAGGCTTCTAAATTCTGTTATTATTTTCTCGACAAGCGCTTATCAATTAAACTATGTCGATAGTGGAATAGCATTTTACAGGTTTCATATCTTCGGTTCAGCAAATGCTATGTAGATGTAAATACCACCGTTCGATTCAGTGAAATAATATCTCCTAATTCCAACTCGATAGTTTTAGTCAAAGACAAACATTATAGTGATTTATGAATTATGAGCGTTGAATGGTCAAGCGATATTTATTTCAATAAATTAGTACATAACTGTTCGAAGAGTGTAAACAATGTATTACTAAGCCATATCTTTCGCCGAACATAACTTCAGCCCCTTCGAACATATCCTTTTCATTGTAGTCGTGTTGGAATCACAATCTAAAACACTATTTTAGAGTGTTATTTTCAAGCCTGTAGCTTCAATTTTTCATCCTTTATTTCGGTTTTTCAATCTATAGTAGTAGGGTACTCAGCGGAATATTTCTAAACAACCTATTAAAGGTCAAATTACAACTGTTACTCCTTAATATTGACCAATTTTACCATGCGAGTAAAAACTCGATATTTAGAAAACATCAAAATAACTAGAAAATACATGCATGCAGCAACCCCTCGGCCCTCGCCATTCTTAACAGATGAAGTATAAAAACCCCACATAAAGTATTAATACCATTATAAACAAACACAAAAACACAACTGATGCCGTGATGCGCTAGCTTTATAATGAACGATAGTGACATTCACTGCAATTTCATGCATACCAACTTGCATTAAAGTGAATTATCGAGTTAAGAATGGCTTAAAAATTTCGCAGATATGAATAAAACCGACAACACAAAGCAAGTACGGCATGGCATTTTACTACTGAAATGTTTACACTCACCCAAACCGGCACAACAACGATTAAGTTATCAAAGATATCAACATCAAAACATCAAAACAATTATTATACAAACTTTGTTTCACGGTTGAACAGCCACTAATTCATGAAACTGCAGGCTTATTTCCAGTTAAAATCGACAAAAAAACCGTGTTGTACTTTCGTAAACTTTTTAACGAAATTTAAAACAAAAAATTGCTTGTAAAACAGTAAAATACGTCCTTTCAAAATGAACAGCAATTTATTTCAACAGATTTTGTACTCGCGCATGCGCATAACGTCGAAAACCGTCCATGACATAACAAAATGGAAGACAACTTTGCACTCCGCCATAGAATAAAGATAAGTAAAATGCAGAAGGGCCACTCAGCGGTGCAACATGTCCGCGTTTTTTTATGCAAAAATATGCAGTTTACTCATGGCCAGAAGGCGGAGCAACCAGCCAGAAAATGTCATTGACTGGCTAGGAAAATGGCGGCCAACATGGATAATGCGACATGCATGCGCGAGGACAGAAACTTCAAAGCTTCAGACGTAAGTGGCCCTTCTATATGGATCTTATCAGTTGTATGACTCCGCTATGTTTTCACATACCCGGGTATAATTAGCCATGCGGAATTAATACCCTCGCACGGCGCTTCGCGCCGCCGGCTCGAGAATATTCTACTCGCCGTATTCCGACGAAACTTTCTACATGGAAGCGCTTGAATACAACTACAAGGAGTATTTTACTCGATTGGCTTGGGGGAATTCGGTATTGAATAATAAGGAGTAACAGTTGTAATTTGACCTTTAAAAATATTCCGCGAGTAGCCTACTACTACAGATTAAAATACCGAAATAAAAGATGAAAAACTGAAGCTACAGGCTTGAAATAACACTCTAAATAGTGTTTTTGTCTAAATAGTCTTTCATTTTCTACAAATAATTAGCTCGTGGACTCGTCAAAATTGACTGAATCTACAAATTTAAATGGCGTAAATCTATGACGCGCCGAATATTTCTTTATTGCCATTGAATTTCATTTATTCGCATTGAATTTCATTTATTCGCATTGAATTTCATTTATTCGCATTGCGAATTACATATATTCGCATTGCGAATTACATATAGTCCATATGAATTTCATTTATTCGTATTGCGATTTACATATATTCTGATTTCGAATTTCATTTATTCGCATTGCGAATTAGACATATTCGCATTGCGAATTGCATATATTCCATATGAATCTCATTTTATATTCGTATTGCGAATTACATATATTTGGATTGTGAATTTCATTTACTCGCATTGCGAATTGAATATATTCACACTGCGAATTTCATATATTCCTTATGAATTTCGAGATAAAGGAGACAGTTCGTGGCTTAATGGCAAGTGCTATTCCACTTGAAGAACAGGGTCTGATTTTAAACAAACAAGAGTTTAGGTTATTTTATTTTATTCTATTCTATCAACCATGCCCTGTCTTGCAAAAAGGGTGGTTTTGTGGTAGAGACAGGACGGAATTCGAGACCTGTTGACATCCGTGATTAGTAAAGTTTGCAAGAATGTTGAATCTGAGCCACACCTTCAACCACTCGATAACTCGAGATTCAATTTGAGAACAGCAAACATAAGTCCTGAAGCAAGATTAGATAGCAAGGCCGTAGGGTTCTGGTCGCGTGGAGTTACTGCATTTTTTTATCTGAGAAAGGCATGTAAATGCCGCAAAGCAACCAGAACATATCAACATCGACGACTTTCCAAGGGCAGGAAAATGAAAAGAAGAGGCAGTATCTGCAGAGAGTACTGGAGGTGGAACAATGGTCTTTTACGCCTCTGGTGTTTGGAACAAATGGCGGAATGGGAACCGAATGCGAACAATTTGTGAAGCACTAACAGAACATTTAGCGCGAAAGAACGGGGAAAGTTACGCAATCGTCGTAGCCTGGCTGCGAACGCGCTTATCGTTTGAGATATTAACAGTTGTGCATTTGAGCGAAGAGGCTCGCGAGTACCGTTCAAGAGAAGAGATGAATTCGAAATGCTCGAGGACTTTCGCCTTAATGTGGACGCAGCAGGAATTTTTTAAACCGTTAGACTTTTTAGAACTTTTTAAACTTTTAGTCTTGGGAACACCTTCTTAGATAAGACTTTTAGAACTTTGCACTTCAGTTGCTATCTACTATCGCAAGAAAGAGAGAACATTAGCCAAGTTGATGAGTGGACTGGGAACGAGTGTTAAAAAGTGCCCAAATTACGAAATGAACCGAATCACTAAAAAGACCACCAAAAAATTAGTAAGTATACAAAGTTTGAAGACGTTTACATGAACACCCTTCGAATAATAAGCTTTCGAAATTTTGTGAAATTACTGATTAAAAGATTGTTTTTGGGACGCTCGTCCCCCAAAACAAAAATTACCGTACATTTCATGCATAGTAAATATCGAGATTTTCGAAAGCTTATTATTCACGTAAACGTCTTCAAACTTTGTATACTAACTAATATTAAGGTGGTCTTTTTAGTAATTTGGTTCATTTCTTAATTTGGGCACCTTTTAACACCCGTAACCAGTCTTCTCATTAACTTCGGAATGGCTATTGGAAAATGAAGGAAGAAACTTCGCAATGGTCACAAATATCTGAGGAAGAACTGGAGAATATTGTTAAAGAAATAAGAACACTAACATAGGGGGACGGAGGTTATTGGGTGTTTTACGATGTAGGCACATCCGGGTTCAACATAAGAGGGTGCGAAACTGTTTATGGCGAATTGACCCGATTGGTACTGCCCTTAGATGGAGACCAGTAATCTTTATCCCCTGGTTGCTTCGAACTCTTGATGGTAAGTCAAATTTAGTTACTCCTTCCTCAGCTGTTCCAAAACAGTGGTACTTCTATTGTTATCAGCACAGTGTACGTAAGTCAGTAATCGAGAATATCCATCTATACAGCAATGAAAGACAATCCGATATGGTTCCCATCTATGTGCCAGAAGGAATTTGGGCAAGGAACAGAGAATTTTCTTTTGGAAAATTGTAATGGAGTTGCAACCTACATGTTGGGACGCAGAGGAATGGATCGCGGCAACTTTATAACTGGGAGCTCTGCTCACAATTGTAAGGTGGAAACAGTACACAGAGACGCCCACTGGCCCCATGATCAATGTTGGAAAAAGTGTGTTGACTTTTCTCTTTTCATTCATTCATTCACACAACATTGAATTGGGGGTGAGGGGGTATTTATGCGGTTGTCTCAATAATTTTTGCCCTGATTGTCTCTATTTGTACTTTTGAATGAAACGTAATTCATTCAAGTTGATTCAACTCATTGCTGCAGGGAAGACGCTAACTTGGATTTCTGGCTTAATGAACCTTTTGCTATATAATATTTTTCTCAGCGGTTTTCTATAACAGAGTACTTCATGTAAAAAGAATATAGGGGATCTTGTGAACTATAGTTATTTTTTGTTATAAAAGGGCGATTAATTGATGAATATATACATTGGAAGAAGATTATAAAATAATGAATAAATTTCAGACAATTTTTTCTCTCAAACAGAATATTTCCTTCAAGTTCAAGAATTTTATAGCAGACAACGCATCGTTATGGCCTACTTACAAACAATTTTGAAAAAATTTCAATGATTTTCTACTTTTAGCTGAATTGTTACGTAAGATTGACATACTCACTAGGTTATAAATCCACTTCAAGCTTTTTGTTTATGTTGATATACGTAAACTTGCACTAGCTAGAATTAATTGCAAACTTCCATCTCCTATGATTTTGGGATTATGTGAAATGAGCTAAAGCAAATCTGGTCGCACATGCCCAAAATATCAATCTAATTTTACGATCTGACTAGACACGTTACACCACACGTTACATAATAATCTGTAGTAAAACATACATAGATATGAGACCGCGTTACACACGTTACTCCCATTGTTTTTTAAAATAAATATATATATTTATTTTTAAAACATTGGGTGTAACGTGTGTAACGTGTCATATTTCTATAAATTTTTCTATATATTATTAAGTAAAGTAGGTGTAACGAGTAGTGTAACGTGTAGTGTAACGTGTAGTGCAACGTGTGTAACGTGTCAGCTTTTGCTTAATGAAGCCAAGTGCATAAAATTTACATGAACTAATCACTTTAGATTAGTTGGTGAACATCCAACAGCACATACTACAGTATAAATGACAAAGTTTTCTTATTTTTCGTCGTATGGCTAAGCTGAGGAACTGTCATATAATGACTCCCTCCTCAGGAAATGATGGCTAATTGAGCTTGAAAGGACGTAACAGTAGTTAAAACACTATACGCTGGATTTTTATGGCTTGTTGGATGTGTCGTACTATATCGCAAAGTTTTTTAATAGATCGTATTTAGCCTACAGCTTGTCTATTTTCCCAAAGATTTTTCTCTAGTAAGTAAATGATAGTAAAAAAATTAAATTCTTTAGAAAATAAAGCTTCTTATTCTTGTCCAGTTCCCCGCACAGCCTCCTTGCAGAATTTCTACATTTTGGGAGACAAAAAATTTCGGTAAATATGATTGAAATATGTCAATTTCATGTCAACCTGCATGGTCGCTAAAGTTTGGCAAAATTTCAAATTTTGGATAGCTAACCCCCAAACAGCTCCATCTCAGACAATCGCGTGCAAAAATAATAAGACTTTTCACATTTTTGGCCATTTTAAAGTACGTCGGCCTCCCCCCTGCCCCAATGATCAATAGTGTTGGAAAAAGTGTGTTGATTTTCTCTATTCAGTCATTCACACAACGTTGAATTGGGGGTGAGGGGGTATTTATGCGGTTGTCTCAATAATTTTTGCTCCTGATTGTAGGGTAAGTATAGGTTATTTTGAGGCAACGAGGGGATATGTGATTTATTCACCGAGGCGCGCAGCGCCGAGGTGAATAAACACATATCCCCGAGGTGCCTCAAAATAACGTACTTATTTTTCACATTGCGAGGTCGTGTTAATGATTCAGAATAGAAATAATTCTTAATGCCATATTGCTTTGGTTATGTTGTTTTTTCTCATTTTTTGTGCTGCAAAGACATTGCAGGTGAATATTAGAGGGGATTATTAATTGCAGGTGAATATTAGAGGGGATTATTAAAC